TATTACCTTATACAAATATCAAGATATTGCACTAGTACCACGGGGGAAGGTTTTCCGTCGTTCCCTTTAATATCTTCCTTATTGTTTATGATTGTAGATTGATAAATCACATGCCTTCCAAGCAAAAATTATTATGGGTTCGATTACCATGCATAACAAAACCTGAAGTCCGTTTAGTCCAGATGTCCTTGTCGCAGCAAAAACTCGGTTTCGAGCCCCGTAGAGGATTTTTATAGAGGAAATAACTCAATTGGTTACAGTTGTCGCTTGTCACTTACGTAAGGTTCGCGGTTTCGGCCGCTTTTTCCTATAAATTTTTCTTCGATTTTACTTCCTCTGTTCGAGTTTACTGGCAACATTTGAAAATTACGCTTTTGCCGCTTTACTGGCAACATTGCAATTTGATTGGCTCAAAAATGAAATCCATGCATGTAATTGGTTAAAAACACTCTTTGGGGAAGACGGCACGCTCAGAGCAAAAGTGACGTAGGGCACGACACGTTGACCACAGGGGTCCCGGCGCGACGCAAGGCATCCTTACTGAGATGAGGAAGTCGGAACTGATTGCCATATTTCTTCTCGAGGACCAACCGCATAACAGCCTGGAAGGTAAGGAAAACACTCTCCAGCTTCATGGAGTCCAAGTCGCGAAAGCTGGACCACGACTTGGAGACGGTGTCTCGATGGAGACCAAAGAGGGCGGCCGTGGATGAGATTGCTCCACGCTTCAGCTTGCCAAGGGCCATGAACTGAATGAGGTGATTGACAACCTTAAGCTTAGTCTCGTAGGGAATCTCTCGACGCGTGCGGGCAGGCATCATGTCAACTAGTCGAAGAAAGTTGAAATGAGCTGTTGATTCTGCGTTTTTATTTGAAAGAAATTTGAACTTGTCGTTTTTGAGCGCGAAAACTTCGCCCCTGCTCTTTGCAGTCAATAGAGGATACCTCCAGTTTTACATGCTCTTTTGAACATGATACAGCTCATCAATTTTGGCGCAAAAATGGATTTTTGGGGTCACTTGGAACAGAAATGTTGCCAGTAAATTCGAACAGAGGAAGTATTCATGAAGTTCTTATATCTATCATCTTTCCATCTTCATTTACATAAGCATCATGTTCAAGAAAAGTTTGCTAGTGTCTTCGCTCTGTTCTCTTCGGTAAGTCTCACGTCAAGTTTCTCAAAATATGCAGATGCAAACAGCCCATGGCAATCGCACTGACGCTTGTCCTGTGCGGGGTATCCGACGCAGCAGCCATCACAGTCATTTTACCGCCTTCTGTCGCATCAGCTCCATTTCCACCAACGACAATGTTTCGTTGCTCACCGAATCCCCCCACAGGTGCACGTTACAAAAACCACCGATGTACAGTGGGCGTCAAAAGTCTTCATACCCCTAGTAATCATTTTGTTCACATTTCAACGTCGACTACGAAATAACATTCTCGACAAGAACAAAGTATTGACGTAAAGCTAAACGTGTGCTCGATCAATGTGATGCAGATTGAACAAGATTGGCTGAATTGTGTGAACTTCATGGCAAAACATCCGATACAAAATATTACAACTCTGATGGATAATAAGTGCAGGCGGTGACAAAAAGTGGTGATAAAGTTATCGGATTGGGCTAAAAATTAGTGGATAGAAATCTACGAACCCAGACGATTCTCGTCATATCTTTTGCGGAATCTTATTTGTACATATGCATTTGCTACGTCGATGACAAGCCGCCATACAAAATCCAAGATAACCTGACCAATGACCACAAATCCCTTTACCAAGACCTGCTTAGAGTAAGCACAATTGATGTTCTAACGCGAATTCAAGTGGAACGTGTTTGCAATTATTTTGGTGTACATTCATCGCCTGGGTGGCGCATCTGAATGCGCGGGAACGACAGCAAGTCCAAGGACGCAGCGGCCAACGTATCCTCTCACAAACATCGCTCTGGGAGAATCGACGCTACATCATGGACGACATTGAACAACGCAAATCAAACGAACTCCTCTTCACCGCCGCCAATCTCAGCAATCGCTCGCCAAGGCCACTGGTCTGTCGCAATGGCCAACTTCGAACTTCATTCGCAAGAACTGGATCACTGTACGAACGAGTTGGTCAAAACCAAAGCATACCCAAGAGCACAAGACGCAGCGAAAAGCATTTTGTAGCGAGCATTTGTCAGAACACGGTAAACATCAGAAAAATGGTTTTACTTCACCAAGGTTCGCAAGCGATTTTACATGTGGCATGATGAGTCGGTTCCCAGGCGCTCCTTGAGGTCAAAGATGCGCATGACAAAAGTTGTCCTTGCTTGTGGCCCGACCACGACAATTATGGGACGGCAAAGTGGCTTGCTGGCCTCTGGTCGAGGCGACTCTTGCTCAAAGTCGGAGCAGGAATTGTCCTGCTGAGACACCGATGTTGTCGACCGCGACCGTGACAAAGCCCGTGTACTGCGACTACCTTGTTCAGCGCATGCTTCCTGCGATCAAAAGGCAGTGGGTTTGGGCAATGATGACACGGACGACACAATATACGTACAGCAAGACAACGCTCGGTCGCATATTTCCGTTGACGACGCTGGTTTTGCCGCTGCTGCTGCTTCTGGTGGTTCGAAGATCAAGTTAACATGCAAGCCTCCCCAGTCGCCGGATCGGACTGTGCTCGACCTTGGGCTTTTCAACTCTATTCAGTCACTTCAGCAGATGGAGTGCGATCAATGGCGGAACTCATCCACGCAGTTGAAGGTTCGTTCAATTCTTTGCCTCAAGAAATTTTGGACAGGACGTTCCTTACCTGGAAGCGTGTGATGCGTTTGGTCATTCACATCGAAGTTGACAGCACGTACAAGATATCTCGGAGCAAGGAAACGCAGGTAGATGTTGATGCAATGGAGTTGCTGAATGCGCGGCTAGAGGAAGAGGATTGCATGGATGAGCTTGCCGACCCTTTCAATGCGATGTCAGTGCAAAACGTTTTAAATACAGATTCAATTTACTTAAAATTTGTATATCCTGGAATGTTCGCCTGCACTTTTTACCAGTCAGAGGAAGTAATCCAAAAGTCTTCGTATATCTTAAGAAATTACACTTTTCACCTATTTTTTATCAACTTAAACTATTTTTGAAAAAATTTCAAGATTGGTTTCTTGCTTAGATGCTTTCAGCAATTATCCCCCCATGGACATTTCTTGTCGTTCCTCTGAAGTACAGGGTCAATCGACCTCGTTTAACATTCACAACACTTATCAACCTGCACCAAACAGCCTACCTTAGCATACCGTTCGACATTGAATGTCCGTCAACTATCCTCGTGCGCGCAGTAGCTCTCCCAAGAACTCCGGGCCCTGGTGATTTCAAAGCACCTTGAAGGTCTTGGATATGGCAAAATGGCGCATGTTTAAGTGTACTTAAGTCGACTGTCCAACATTGTTAAGTGCTACAAGACAATCAACCAAGCAATCACTCTATCACGTTCTGGGCGTTCTACTGCAACTACACCACATGAGGACCGCATGATTTGAGGGCAGTCAAGGAAAACCGTCGGCTTAGTGCCAAATTGTTGAAGGATACTTTTGCAGTGTTTCATGACAAGGACATCTCGAAGTCTACAATCCGTCGACTTATTAAGGTAGTTGGCCAACATGGTCGCGCAGCCAGACTCAAGCCGTTCATTTCGAAGGCTAACAAGTTGAAAAGGCTTTCGTACGCCCGGAAACACCATCTTCGTTGCAGTGAAGGCTGGAAGTAGGTCTTCTGGACGGACGAAAGTCCCATCAACTTGTTGGGATGGAATCGACGGTCTATGTTGGCGTCGAACTCGAGAAGAGTTCTCCGATGGATGCCTTGCTCCGACATTCAAGAGTGGCCGTCAAACTGTTATGGTTTGAGGTGCTATTGGCTACAAAGATACTTGAACGCTTGCTTTCTGCGATGGAAAAATGAAGTCTACGGAGTATCGGACCATGATCGAAGAGAAATTGCTTGAGAACTTTGTGAAATTTGCACTTCCCGTGGACTTTGATATAATGCAAGACAACGCACCGATTCAAAAGACGAAGATCGTGCATGATATCTTTGATGACAACGCATTTTAGGTGCTGAGTCTTCCACCGCAGAGTCGCAACTTGAACCCCATTGAACATGTGTGAGAGTACATGAAACGTAGAGTGTGCCAAAATCCTCCATCATCGCTGGAGAAATTGAAACGTCAATTGATGGCAATCTGGGATAACATCCCAGTTGCATTCACCCAGTAATTGATCGAATCAATGCCTAAACGGCTCAGCAAGGTCATTGCCAACAAGGGAGGTGCTACGAAGTACTAGGATTCAGAGGGGGTAATCGAAGAACTAGGATTCAGATCAGTGACAAAAATCTACAATCTCTTTTTGGGGAACGAAGACTTTTGGCATTAGTCAAAATACTGCAGCTGATCCAAGTTCCCGAATAAATCGATTTTCATTTTATTGCGACTTCTTTCGATTCACTATACAACAAGGAACAAAACGCAAATTAACACAGAGCTTAGCACAAGCATTTCAAAAAATATGCTCAAAATACAAAAATGTTGTGGAGGGTACGATGACTTTTGACACCCACTCTACATGTTCGCAACGTCAACTTGGTGGCTGGCAGTCATATTTGTAAATAGTTGTGGGTGGCGAAACATTATACCGGATATTTGATTGAGTCACGAAACTATTTGTTTCGCACGAGTTTCGGAATCCAGAAGAAACCAATATTTGTCACTTGAGCTTTGTATTCAAACCAAACTATCTTGCGAATAGTTCGAGATCACGAAACATCGTCGAAACTCATTATCCGTAAGAAATTGGCCAATCAGAGTCTTTAGGCAAGATG